GGAAATAAAATTTTATATGGCCTAGACCAGTGGTTCTTAACCAGGGTGATATTGCCCCCCAGGGGGCAATTTCATTTTTCAGGGGGGCGATGGAACGAAAAGGGGCGATGCGGGGGCGAAGGAACGAAAAGGGGGTGATATGGGGGCGATGGAGCAAGAAGGTTTGGGGACACTTTTGAGACTTTTTCGTACAGTGAATCGCTGTATATCTATCGTACAAAAACATCAGATCGCTCACTATTAGTGGATTGAATTGTGTTTTCAAATGTTCTTCCAGCTAGTTTCAGTACAAAATGCCGTACATATGTGAAGACGCATCGCTTATCTTCATGCACGTTGTGCAGCAGCCTCTACCCATACAGTGGCGCATCATTGGCCAGAATATGGGATATGGGGAAAAGACTGGAAATAAATTATTTGCATCGATATGTCCTGATGACAATTTTAAAGAAAAAAACAAAAAAAGTGTTTGCATAAATTGAAGAATTATTTCCTATGTTGTGATTGAGAGGTTGTGTTGGGGGAGGGGGGCGATGACAATTTCCTCATTGGCTCAAGGAGGCGATTCGTTCAAAAAGGTTAAGAACCACTGTCCTAGACAACAATTATTTCAAGAATTGAAATATATTTACAGAACTACAGGAATTATATTTACAGCTCCATTTCGGAAACCCATTTCAAAAGCATCCAAGATGGGAAACAAAAAAGCAGACCAACGTGTTGAAGCATTGAAAAAAATCATATTTAAATTTGAACTGCTGGAACCAATTAAGATGTGGGGGGTTTTGTCAGCTAACTTCATAAAGGGTCTTTTAGATTGAGAAAGTTAATATTGTTGAAAAATACCAATTTCCAATAAAATAAATCAAATGAAGTGAAGGGGTCTTTTTACAAAAAAACTGTAATTAATTCTGAGTAAAATGAGCAAAACAAGAAGAAAATACAAATTCATACTAGAAAAAGAAATTCTGCTATAATTCATAGTAAATAGTGATGTGTAAAATTGTTAAAAGTTTTAATAAAATGTTAGTGAGGATTAACTAAAAAGCATCTACCCCAAAATTAAAACTAAAAACAGCTAAAAGAAATAAAATCAGAAAGATGACTTAACATTCTAATATAAACAAGTCCAGTTCTCAATATATAGAATTAAACCTGGATATGTCTATTTCTACCTAATTCCTATGAATACTTCTTACGTCCTCTGGATTCTGATTTCCAGGGGAAGCCTCCTATGAGAACTTCTTAGGTGCTCTGGAACATGAATTCCAGAGGAACCATGAAAAGCACCAAAACACCAATTTGAGGAAATAAAATTTTATATGGCCTAGACAACAATCATTTCAAGAATGGAAATATATTTACAGAACTACAGGAATTATACTTACAGCTCCATTTCGGAAACCCATTTGAAAAGCATCCAAAATGGGAGACAAAAAAGCAGACCAAAGTGTTGAAGCATTGAAAAAAATCATATTTAAATTTGAACTGTTGGAACCAATTAAAATGCTGGAGGTTTTGTCAGCTGACTTCATGGTATAAAGGGTCTTTTAGATTGAGAATGTTAATATTGTTGAAAAATACCAATTTCCAATAAAATAAATCAAATGAAGTGAAGGGGTCTTTTTACAAAAAAACTAACTAATTCTGAGTAAAATGAGCAAAACAAGAAGAAAATACAAATTCATACTAGAAAAAGAAATTCTGCTATTATGCATACGAAATAGTGTAAAATTGTAAAAAGTTGTAATAAAATGTTAGTGAGGATTAACTAAAAAGGGTCTAACCTGAAATTAAAACTAAAAACAGCTAAAAGAAATAAAATTAGAAACATGACTTAACATTCTAATATAAACAAGTCCAGTTCTCAATATATAGAATTAAACCTGGACATGTCTGTTTCTACCTAATTCCTATGAATACTTCTTATGTCCTCTGGATTCTGATTTCCAGGGGAAGCTTCCTATGAGAACTTCTTAGGTCCTCTGGAACATGAATTCCAGAGGAACCATGAAAATCACCAAAACAGTAATCTGAAGAAACAAAATTTTACATGGCCTAGACAACAATCATTTCAAGAATTGAAATATATTTACAGAAATACAGGAATTATATTTACAGCTCCGCTTCAGACACCCATTTCAAAAGCATCCAAGATGGGGGGCAAAAAAGCAGACCAAAGTGTTGAAGCATTGAAAAAAATCATATTTAAATTTGAACTGTTGGAACCAATTAAAATGATGGGGGTTTTGTCAGCTGACTTCATGGAATAAAGGGTCTCTTTGACTGAGAACCTTAATTTTGTTGCAAAATATCAATTTGCAATAAAATATATCAAATGAATTGAAGGGGTCTTTTTAGTAAAAACTGTAAATAATTTTGAGAAAAATGACCAAAACAAGAAGAAAGTACAAATTCATACTAGAAAAAGAAACTCTGCTATAATTCATAGTAAATAGTCATATGTAAAATTGTCAAAAGTTGTAATAAAATGTTAGTATTAACTAAAAAGCATCTAACCCAAAATTAAAACTAAAAACAGCTAAGCAGACCAACGTGTTGAAGCACTGAAAAAAATCATATTTAAATTTGAACTGTTGGAACCAACTATGATGCGGGGGGTTATGTCAGCTGATGTCATGGAATAAAGGGTCTTTTAGATTGAGAAAGTTAATTTTGTTGAAAAATACCAATTTCCCATAAAATAAATCGAATGAAGTGAAGGGGTCTTTTTAGAAAAAAACTGTAATTAATTCTGAGTAAAATGGGCAAAACAAGAAGAAAATATAAACAAGTCCAGTTCTGAATATATAGAATTAAACCTGGAGATATCTATTTCTACCTAATACCTATGAATACTTCTTATGTCCTCTGGATTCTGATTTCCAGGGGAAGCTTTCTATGAGAACTTCTTAGGTCCTCTGGAACATGAATTTTCCATGAAAAGCACCAAAACACCAATTTGAGGAAATAAAATTTTATATGGCCTAGACCAGTGGTTCTTAACCAGGGTGATATTGCCCCCCAGGGGGCAATTTCATTTTTCAGGGGGGCGATGGAACGAAAAGGGGCGATGCGGGGGCGAAGGAACGAAAAGGGGGTGATATGGGGGCGATGGAGCAAGAAGGTTTGGGGACACTTTTGAGACTTTTTCGTACAGTGAATCGCTGTATATCTATCGTACAAAAACATCAGATCGCTCACTATTAGTGGATTGAATTGTGTTTTCAAATGTTCTTCCAGCTAGTTTCAGTACAAAATGCCGTACATATGTGAAGACGCATCGCTTATCTTCATGCACGTTGTGCAGCAGCCTCTACCCATACAGTGGCGCATCATTGGCCAGAATATGGGAGATATGGGGAAAAGACTGGAAATAAATTATTTGCATCGATATGTCCTGATGACAATTTTAAAGAAAAAAACAAAAAAAGTGTTTGCATAAATTGAAGAATTATTTCCTATGTTGTGATTGAGAGGTTGTGTTGGGAGAGGGGGGCGATGACAATTTCCTCATTGGCTCAAGGAGGCGATTCGTTCAAAAAGGTTAAGAACCACTGTCCTAGACAACAATTATTTCAAGAATTGAAATATATTTACAGAACTACAGGAATTATATTTACAGCTCCATTTCGGAAACCCATTTCAAAAGCATCCAAGATGGGAAACAAAAAAGCAGACCAACGTGTTGAAGCATTGAAAAAAATCATATTTAAATTTGAACTGCTGGAACCAATTAAGATGTGGGGGGTTTTGTCAGCTAACTTCATAAAGGGTCTTTTAGATTGAGAAAGTTAATATTGTTGAAAAATACCAATTTCCAATAAAATAAATCAAATGAAGTGAAGGGGTCTTTTTACAAAAAAACTGTAATTAATTCTGAGTAAAATGAGCAAAACAAGAAGAAAATACAAATTCATACTAGAAAAAGAAATTCTGCTATAATTCATAGTAAATAGTGATGTGTAAAATTGTTAAAAGTTTTAATAAAATGTTAGTGAGGATTAACTAAAAAGCATCTACCCCAAAATTAAAACTAAAAACAGCTAAAAGAAATAAAAGCAGAAAGATGACTTAAATTCTAATATAAACAAGTCCAGTTCTCAATATATAGAATTAAACCTGGATATGTCTATTTCTACCTAATTCCTATGAATACTTCTTACGTCCTCTGGATTCTGATTTCCAGGGGAAGCTTCCTATGAGAACTTCTTAGGTGCTCTGGAACATGAATTCCAGAGGAACCATGAAAAGCACCAAAACAACAATTTGAGGAAATGAAATTTTATATGGCCTAGACAACAATCATTTCAAGAATGGAAATATATTTACAGAACTACAGGAATTATACTTACAGCTCCATTTCGGAAACCCATTTGAAAAGCATCCAAGATGGGAGACAAAAAAGCAGACCAAAGTGTTGAAGCATTGAAGAAAATCGTTATTTAAATTTGAACTGTTGGAACCAATTAAGATGCTGGGGGTTTTGTCAGCTGACTTCATGGAATAAAGGATCTTTTTGATTGAGAACATTAATTTTGTTGCAAAATACCAATTTCCAATAAAATAAATCAAATGAACTGAAGGTGTCTTTTTACAATAAAACTGTAACTAATTCTGAGTAAAATGAAGAAAAAAAAGAAGAAAATACAAATTCATACTAGAAAAATAAATTCTGCTATAATTCATACTAAATAGTGTAAAATTGTCAAAAGTTGTAATAAAATGTTAGTGAGGATTAACTAAGCATCTAACCCAAAATTTAAACTAAAAACAGCTAAAAGAAATAAAATCAGAGACGTAACTTAACATTCTAATATAAGGAAGTCCAGTTCTCAATATATAGAATTAAACCTGGACATGTATATTTCTACTTAATACCTATGAATGCTTCTTATGTCCTCTGGATTCTGATTTCCAGGGGAAGCTTCCTATGAGAACATCTTGGTTCCTCTGAACCATGAATTCCAGAAGAACCATGAAAAACACGAAAACAGTAATCTGAAGAAATAAAATTTTATATGGCTTAGAAAACAGTCATTTCAAGAATGAAAATATATTTACAGAACTAAAGGAATTATATTTACACCTCTGGTTCACACACCCATTTCTAAAGCATCCAAGATGGGAGAGAAAAAAACGGACCAAAGTTTTGAAGCATTTTAAAAAAATTGTATTTAAATTTGAACTGTTGGAACCAATTAAGATGCAGGGGTTTTGTCAGCTGACTTAATGGAACAAAGGGTCTCTTTAATTTAGAAAGTTAATTTTGTTGCAAAATATCAATTTCCAATCAAATGAATTGAAGGGGTTCTTTTGAGAAAAAAATGCAAATAATTCTGAGTATCATTAGGAAAAAAAGAAACAAAGTATATATTCATAGTAGAAAAACAAATTCTGCCACAATTCATAGTAAATAGTGATGTTTAAAATGGTTAAAGTTCTAATAAATTTAAATTTGAACTGTTGGGACCAATTATGCTGGACAGGTCTCGATTTAGAAACTTTAGTCTGTTGCAAAACTCCAATTTCCGATATAATAAATCAAAATTTAAGGTTTTTAGTAAAATGCAAATAATTGTTACTTTGATGAAAAGAAAAATATATACATTCATAGCAGAAATTCTCCCAGAGTTCAGAGTAAATATTGGTGTGTAAAATATTTCAAGTTCAATATAATGTTTGAGTGGTCAAAGGCACATCCATTGCATCCAGGAGCAATGTATTATTGTGTATTTGAAGCTCAAAACATTTACATATCCCTAATTCCAAACTGACTGTTATGTTGAGAAACATATCAAGAACGAAAAAAGTTCAATTGTCAATAATTTTAACCAAAATATTAGTCAATCTTAATTAAATTTATGTAACTCTAAAAGCAAACTAGGAGAAGCTAAAGATACTAAATCAAGAACATTACTTAATATTCTATATGAACAGTTGTTAATATGTAGAATTAAATTTGGACATGTATATTTCTATCTATTTTCTATGAATACTTATGTCCTGCTGAGTTCTCTTTTCAGAGGAAACTCAAAAGAACAAAAGAAATGAAAAACAGTAATGTCAAGAAATATTTTGTTTCGTTTAGACAACAATCGTTCTATTTACACATATCTACTAACGACATTTACACTTCTCTTTCGGCTACCATTTCATTCCCTATATACAATTAAGCTGTGATACAAAAAATGAGGTTAAAGTGTTCAAGCTGTTAACAAAATCTTATTTAAATTTGGACTCTTTCAACCAATTTTGATCCTGCTGCTTTTTTCAGCTGCCTTCATAGGATGAAGTGTTTTCTTCATATACAAAGTTAAATGTCTTCATCATTTTCCGGTTTAATAAAGCAAAGAAAGTGATTTTTTTTTTGTTACATAATGGGAAGAATACATTCAAATCCTAATAAAAAGGATAACAATGCTGAAGGTCCATGTGTGAATAGGAATAAAAGTATTTGTTTCAATTGAAGATTGAGTCTATGTGTCAGTATATCAAAGCTTTGAAAGTGGTACTGCATGCAGTCCCTTCGCATATGAAAAAAGTCTACCACATATTAGAAAAGGATACAAAAGAACACTTTGGAAATATACTTAGGAAACTCATTTTGCCATTTTTAGCTGAGTAAGGCTCCTTATTTAGAAGCTTTCAGAGGATTTTCTTCAGCTTTGATGCTCATACCACCTTTTATGGCCTCACTTAAATTTTGTTTTTCTGGGAGATCAGGATTATATCTGAACTGATAACCATAAGGACGGAGATGATAAATCAAATATTCCAAATGATACATAGTAGTAGCATCTACATAGTGAAAAGAAACTGCTAGATCAGAACAGCAACCAGGGCCCTACAAAAAGAAAAAGAAAAAACAAAATCAAAAGGCAAAAACAGCTGTTAATTAAATGCAGATCAGATGACTTTAACTTCAATCATGATGGCTCTGAGAGTATTTGTTCTGTATTTGGTCTTTGAATATGAATTGTACACAGCTACTTCATAACAGTGGAGTGGATTCACTTCAGGGAAATTGAAATCTCTTCCATATATGGATTCTCCCCAGAATATTCTAAAAGTAGGAAATATTAAATTTAATGTTATTGAGTTTCTACGCATAAAGCTCAGATATTCCCCATTTTGAAAACATCTCAGTTGTGAAATAGTAAAATTTATGCCTGAAATCATGGTAATATTCTAGATGTCATAAGACTATATGGATCCTGCATCTGATGCAAAAAAGCAACTACAGAAGTTCAACAAACTTAAAAGATTTTTAATGTCATTTTAATTTTTATAACAACCCCCCATAATAAAACATACCTCTACAGCAGGGTAATAGTTGTAATTCCAGTACCAAAAATTTTTGGGAAGATATCCTTTGATTAAATGATGTTCTGGCACAAATGGATGGAAGGTTTCCTTGCCGCTTGTATCCCGAGAATCTCCAGCTTCAACATTAATGCTCTCCATACACTTGCCTAATGCTAAGTCTTCAATGGAAGAGCTATGAGTACATTTGTTATTTTTGAAGGCATCCACAAATCTTTTCAGAGCTTCTTTGCTAAGCACATATCCTGCCCCACCACTCATATAGCCCTGTTTTACAAAAGGCTTAAATCTTCGCCCAAAATAAATGGGTTTTTCAGGATTGTATTTTGAAAGGAGCCATCTCAAGTTATCCAGTGCAACATAGGTGTCATCATCTGCCTTCATGAACCAATCTGCTTCATCAAAATAATGTTCATGTACATACTGGAAAGCTTTAATAGTTTTCCAGTATAAATGATCCCTGCCTTCTTTGGTTTCTAATCCCACTGTTGGAAAGTTCTTGTTTTCCTCAGAGCTCATGAATAAGATTTTGTTGCAATGCTGGGCCCAAGTAGCTTTGACATGTTTGGCTTTTGTTTCCAGATTTTGGGGACCTGTCATCACCCAACAAAGTATTCTTACCTTCTGGTACAAGTCTTCAGCAACATTTTTATTTTCATCTGTGGAAGGTATGAAGAGATATGTTATTAAATTTAACCTTCACAAAACTCAGTAATATAAACAATTCTGAGAGGCAAGGGATGGAGTGGTATGGCACCACAGGAGTACAGCGAAGTGGGAAACAGGTTAGTGCAGTTCAGCATAAGTTTGACCAGATGGGGAGGGGTGCTGCAGCATTGCACAAGAACAAGCAGGTATGTCTGAACTATGGACTGAAGGAAGGGGGCCTGAAGGTGGGTATGCACTACAGAATATGAGATCCTGTAGTACAGAGGTGTCAAACTGCCGGCCCATGGGCCGGATGTATCACGTGGAAGCCGCGCCCACCCCATTGCCGGCAATGGCAAAACTGGCCCGATATGTTGCGCGATGTCACGTGATATCGTGAGTTTGACATGCCTGTAGTATATTTTTCAGAAGACATCAGTGGAAACCACTTACAGGAGTAACTTGTAGACATCAGTGGAAACCACTGGCAGGAGTAACCTTTCCTGCCAGTTTCCCCATTGATTTTGGTTCTGGGAGCTGGCAAGGGAGCTCACAAATGGTGATCTTGTGATTGTGCGACACTGGAAACCATCACAATCATGTGACTACAGTGGCAATGCAACAACTAGAACTTCAAAGACCAGTCATATGTACCACTCATTCAATGACATCGCAACCTCAAACAGTTGCTGAATGGGTGCTCCTTAACTGACCACTTAGATCAGCTCTTTTCTTGAGAGTGGAGCATTTAAAATATGACCATAAACAATCTTTTTAAAATTTTATTTACAATTTTCAAGTAAACATGGTAGTTATTATATAGAAAAAATAAAAAAACTGCTCCAGATAGAATATATAAATACCTTTATGTTGCCCAGTGTCAGCATTGAAATTCATTTGTCCTTTCAGATTATTGTTTTCATCATTATCTGAATGATGGCCATGAGGATCATTATGAAGAATGTGAGGCTCAACCTTGATTTGTTCGTCTAATCTTAAGTTAAACAGTAAGTAACATAGGAAAAAACCAATTGCAGATCCAAAAGTGAAGGTCAGAATATTCACTAAGGATTTTGGAGATGCCATTTCCTGAGGGAAGAGAGGGACCATTTTTTAATTTTAAGTTACACATAAATGAACACAGGAAAAATACATTCAGCAATGAAACTGAATAATCATTAATCAGGTCTATATCTCCTTAGCGACCGCAAGGGAGAAAGGATGGGCTGGGTTGCCCTTTTCCAAACAAATGCAATATAAACAAAATCTATACTCTGAAACAAAGGATACAATGTTTGTGTGTGTGCATGTGTGAATGCATGCAAGAGAAAATTCCTATAAGTTTATAATCTTATTGGGAAAGAGATGAACCCTGAATGCAAAATAGATTTAAAACATTTTAGAGGTATTTCATTACAAAGGCACTAATGGATTTTAAAAGTATATATAGCTTTTGTCTCCTATAGATAAAGAGAACAGCAACAGGGAGACATAAATCAACTGCATATATTTATACTTCCGCATTTAACATAATGTTCAAATAATTGTACAGAAACATTTGTCACCTAAACCAGATATAAAACATTTAAGGATATTTCTTTTATTGAAACTTATAAGGATTCTTTGTTCATGTCATTCCAGGTGTAGCATCTTGTATGGAATGTAATGGAAGCATAATACAGCTATTTTTTTTCTATCGCTATCACTCCAGGAAGCATTTTTTTCATTTCAGCTTGGCAAATATCCACTGCAAGTATAGAATAATTTGTGTCTGTTCCTGGTTCTGAAAAAATCCCTTTCTCTCATCTTCTATATGAGTGAACTTTAAAAAATGTCTTTCAATGTGGGATATTCCCACCCTGGAAGGAAAGTTTGCAATATTTTTCTGCATGTTTAATTCCTTAATGTTTTTAGTACAAACTTAACATATCCCTCATTGCAACTGCTGACAGATTAACTCCTTTGCTTCCTGCATGAAGCTGTGAGGGGATAAGGTGTAGTAAAATATGATCATTTGGATCCTCTTGCTCTGCAAGCATTGTACACAAAACAATTCCCACCCTTAATCTCACATTAATATAGCCACCGTGATAATTAATAACATCAGGCTTAATAGGTAGATGAACCCAAACACATCAATCAGAGCAGATTTAGATATATTAAGCTACAATGTTTACCATTTAGTTGGCACGTCCTGACCAAACTGGTCGGGAAATATAGAATTTATGGCACAATTAGGCCCATTCCGGTTATTCAAAGATGAAAGGCTACTGCAAGAAAAAAAGAGCAACATTTGAATTCAGCAATCTTGAACCCAATTTATGTTTAGGTCTGTCCTATAGGAAAGTAAAATTGACTGGAGAGGAGGAGGGGAGGGAAGGAGAGAGAGAGGGGGGGGGCAGAGAAAGAGACTAGAACATCATGTTACAAAGATCACTAATCCACTTCTTCCTCTCGTAATTAATGACCAGACTAAACTAATTAACTTGCACAAATAAGAGCAAACAGGTAAATCCTTTACACATTCTTCCTTGAATGCACAAATGAGTTGCCCATACAGTCAGAAAAAAGAAGTCTGCAAATATGAGAAAAGTTAATTAAAATCCTTTCCCCACTGGGGTTACACATTCACCCTACACGTCTTTCCAAAAACCACTTTCCCTATAAAAGTACCTGGTCTCTATATCCCCATTTGTAGCTTACCTTGGGGGGGGGTGGGGGGGGTGACTTTACGCTCTCGAATAAACCTTTTCCCTTCCAAAGAGCGTGTCGAGATTTCATTCTGATTTGTTGTTGCGCAACTCCCGCTCAAATTGGGACCCCAAATATTCCCTTGACAGTAACAAAATAAAACATTCGCCATTGGTTGGGACGATAGAATTGTAACAAAACACTCCCGGAATACTCAGACTGAAGCGGCCCCGCTGAAATTAGAACGATTGCTTCCATTTCAATATCCTTGCTGTCACAAATGCGTCTCAAACAAGATTTCAGCCCTTTGTACTCCACGCGGCGTTTTTCTTTCCACCCTACTCTAAAAGACCGTACCATACGCGCCTCGTCACTTTTTTACCTTGCCAAATAGCCAGCGCCTCGCCCTTCGCTCCGCTCGCCAGGCCCGACCACCACATTTCTGCCTCTCCTCTTACCTTAATTCTTAACAGCCTCTTCCAGGAGAACAGAGCGGAAGGCCGAGAACTCCGCTGAGGAGTGCTCCGGGAAGAGCAGAGACCACGCAAGGACCGCTGTCACTGCTCTTCTCCTCAGGCAACCTTGTGAGCAGGCTGCCACACCACAACTACCCAGACTGCAGGTCGCCGGCCGGAGAAAAAGAGGGAACCCGAGCCGAGCTCCGTCCCTCCTGCTCCTCCCAGCATCTCATTCGCTCGCGGATAGGGCCCAAGCGCTGAAGCAGGGGAAACGAGGCGGAGTTGCGCGCTTCTTCCCGCCTACCTGAGTTTAGGAAGGGGGATGCCATGGCCGCTTGAGGGCGGAAGAGCGACGTGCGAAGCAGGGAAATAGCGGCCAGGAAGGCTGCCCTCGTGTGTGACTCAGCAGTGGTCCCACTTTCGCGTCTATGTTCAGAGAGCCTTTACACCAAACCAAAGAGAAAACAGGCTTGCATATACTATCATTAAAAATATAATGTACTTTTGTTAATAGTGGCCAGAAATTGACATATAGTATTTTTGTTTTAAACCAACATGGGTTGTTTTACTGTGCCCAGTGTGGGGCAAGAATAGAAGTGATTATACCACTTGTATTAAGAAGAATAGCTCATAATTTCAGAAAGTTGTCCTTTAGATTTAATTTAATTATTTTCTTACTTTTACTCTTTTCTTTTGTAAAGCAAAATTATTGATATAAGCATTTTTTTTAAAAAAATCCTTATGAATTCCTTAAAAGATTTGCCCCCTTTCAGATTTGTCTTTAATTTTTTTTCCAAGAAAATATGATTACTCTAGGTATGGCTTAAAAGGCCAGGCTCTATTTCTTAAAAATAGCTAAACCTTGTCACTAGTATAATAAGGTAGGAATGATCTTGGGAGACAGGAGAGAGTATGTAAAAGATGTCTCAGCCCTGAGAGATAGAGTTTCACTATTTCCTTTTTGAATAGAAAACAGAGTAACAGGGTTGGAGTTTGGTCCATCTAGTCCAAAACCCTGCTCAAGCAGGAAACATACCATTTCTGACAAGTGGCTGTCCAGTCTCTTCTTGTAAACCTCCAGTTATGAAGCACCCACAACTTCTGAAGGCAAGCTGTTTCATTGGTTGATTGTTCTCACTGTCAGAATATTTCTCCTTATTTCTAGGTTGAATCTCCTTGATCAGTTTCCACCCATTGTTTCTTGTCTAGCCTGCTTTTGATTTGGAAAAAAGGTTGTCCCCCTCCTCTCTGTGACAACCCCTCAAATATCGTGTCACCCCGATCCTTCTCTTCACTAGACTAATCATGCTCAGTTCTTGCAACTGTTCTTCATATGTTTTAGCCTCCAGGCCCCAATCATCTTTGTTGCTCTTCTCTTTAGAGCAAACATGTGAAACTCACAACATCACGTGATGTCGTGCAATGTATCGGGACAGTTTTGCCATTGCCGGCAATGGGGTGGTCATCATTTGTAACTTTCCTAGCCGGCTTCTGACAAACAAAGTCAATGGGAAAGCCAGATTCACTTAATAATCATATGATTCAAAACAATTGCATTGGTTTGCTCAACAACAGTAGCAAAAAGGTCTTAAAATGAGGCACAACTTAATAAAAACCTAGCAAAAAAAGTGTTGGGCTCAATTGCCATAAGTTGAGGACTACCTATTCTTTGAATAATAAGTAATTGATTTGTTATGTAATAAAGATATATTCCTTAAAGATTAAAATAATATGAATCATAGGGAGGAAAGAACCAGCTGCCTTTACATCATGTCATATTGATCTGTTAATCATCCTGGAAATTGAACAAGAAGCTGGACTACAAAAAGAAATATTTATGTAATATTTATCTTTGCAAATGTGTGTAAGAGAGCACTTGAGATTGCATCCCTGATTCAAACCCTGGCATTTCTCATGTTGGCCAGAAAGTTACTGGGGTATGAAAACCTGGTTAGCTGTTTTCAATCACTGTAAATAAGGAGTTTGCAAGGCAATTCCAATGAGCATCAGTATGAATTCCCTTAATATCTGTCACACGCCCTAACCTCTGGCTCTTTTTGATACATTTTTTTTAAATCAAAAGGGGTTCAGAAGCAATGTTTCAAGTATTATTTGAATTTATAAGAATGAGCCTCTGCCACAATTAATTTTCAAGCCATTTTCAGATAAATACAATGAGTTGCAGTTTGGTGCTTTGTTTTGAAATTTTTACCTTTGTTTTCCTTTCTAGAATGTAGATAAAACAAAACTTTGGTAAGGGCAACAGTTTTGAGGCTCAGGAATGTTGGAAAGGAGAGGTATCTTAACCAGTTGCTGTGGCTGGTCCTTACTATCTTTACTCATATAGATAACAAAATGTCAGAGTGTCCATTGAATCAAAAGATTGTACATGCCAGCTATAAACAAAAAAGTGCTGAAAGGTCAGATTTGGGACTGGGTGCTTTTTAGATTTCAACCTCAACTTGACAAATGAAGCTAGGGACAATAATGGGAGACAAAGTTGTGTCAAAAAAGGTCAAGATATCAGCCACTTTGTGATTTAAGTCTGTCCTTTTTTTTACTACAGACATTAAAAAAGAGGCAGGACTTCAGTTCTGTTGCTGTGGCTGTCATCAGTTTTTTGACCTTGCATGAATGTGCATTTAAATAAAATATTTTTGAAACAGTTCTGAAACAGAACTTCTGAAAGAAGTCCATGTGTGATAGTTTAGTTATATTCAAAATGTTTTGTAGGTTCTTGTTTCTTGTTAGCATCTAGATTCTAGATAATCCTTTCCTAAATATTTTTTTATATTATTTCAAAACTTGAATTTTTGCAGTAATCACTATTGTTACAGTACTGTTTGCCAGTATGATTGGAGACATTTTGAAAAATAGCATTGTCTCTAGTTACCAGACCCTGCATTATATGCCATGGGACTCCTATACAAGCTTACTTCCAAATTTTGCAAGATGAAAATTTGCAAGATGAAAATTTGATTGTATTATATGCAAACTAACATGATTTCTATTGAATAGCTACTGGTTTTGAGTTATAATAAAAGTAGTTGGATTGTAAGATAGAGCTTATTCACCATGCTTGCCTTTGGCATTTTCCACTCCTTCCCTATATGATTTACAGCTGACAAATAATGTGAAGGAAGAAAACATATAATTAATGTCTACGTAAATCTTTATTTATTAACAATGAAGGTCAAGTAGAACTTTCTGTTGAATACCTGAACAGCAGTCTTCTCAACAGATGAATTTTAGTAACAGACCTATAAATCATCAGAATCACACTGACTGATTTTCAGGTTGAAGTAAAACTCAAGTAATATCTTGTTGGAGCTGTGAATCCAAGGGCAGTAACTCTTCAGCACATCACTTGTAGAATCAAGAAGTTACTGTGCATCCATTATTTCACTATTACTCTATTCTTCACTTTATGGTGTTGCTAAATTAAGATCATTCCACTTTCCTTTTTCATCAGATATGCCCACAGCAGCAGGTTCTTTGACCTGTCTCCTGATAGGGAGTAATTAGCTAAGTGATAGGTTTTACCCTTTTTATAATACACATCTTATGAATAAATCTCCTTTCTGTTATAACTGTAAAATCTGCTTCATTAAATGTGACTTGGATGAGCTTGCTACCGCCAGGAATAGGCACAGATGGACAGAGAATGCTTCAAACTCCAAGAGAACCTAAGAACAAAATAGTAAGAAATTATAAATTTGGAATATATCATTTAGGTCAAACTATTGCACAAAGTAAGGAAAAGCAACTATTATAGCAAATTAAAATGCTACTTATGGATCATACAGTTAGTCCTTGACTTATGACCACAATTGAGCCCAACATTTCTGTTGTTGAGGCATTTGTTAAATGAGTTTTGTCCCATTTACGACCTTTCCTGTTATAGTTGTTAAATTATTAACAAAGTTAAGTGAATCTGGCTTCCCCATTGAATTTGCTTGGCATATGACAATGGGATATTGCAACTGTCATAAATACGAACCAGTCCCAAGCATCTGAATTTTGATCAGGTGACCATGGGAACGCTGCAATGGTCATAAGTATAAAAAACGGTCATAAGTCACTTTTTTCAGTGCTGTTGTAACTTTGAACAGTCACTACATGAACGGTTGTTAAATCAAGGACTACCTGTATTTTTTTCCTGTATGAACATTACTTAAATTCCAAAATTGTGTAGACATTACATTTATTCATGGAATAAATGGAAAAAACTGTCAACTTACTAGAATTACTAAGTATTTAAAAGATAATATAATATTTTGAATAATCTTTTTCATTTGAGATGTAAATCCTGAATCCATTTGCAAAAGATAAACTGAAAAGATCACCAAAAATTATTATATAGTTCATCCTCAAGTTATGACCATTTATTCAGTAACCATTCAAAATTACAATGGCATGAATGAGGGAGACTTACAATTGGTCTGTGAAATTGTTAGAGTTGCAGCATCATCAGGGTCACAGGACCACGATCCGGATTTTTGGATGCCCAGGTTGTAATTACAAATTGTAATGAGTGGTGGTCATGTGATCACCATTTGCTACTTTCCAGACAGGCTTCCAGCAAGCAAATTCAGTGGTTAAGCCAGCAGGTTGCACATCACTCCTGTAAATTGCTGCTAATACTGAGAAGTACTAGATTTCAGGGATATCATGCCCTGTAGCAGGTCCCACCTGCCCATACTCCATACATAGTACATGCCTACCCACAGCAACCTCTGCACACCTGCATGGTTGGCCAACATGCCTGCAATCTCTAGTGCACATGGCGCTCTGCTTTACTATAGCAGTGTGCTTCATAGTACTTACTGCAGCAGTGCAGCACCTACCCCCTATTCTTTGCTTGGGACTCCCACCTTTTCCTGTTTAATGACCTGCTGCTTTATGAAGGCATAGTAATGAGAATTACAGTCCCAATTTCAATAATAACCTGAGCATTACCTGTAGGAAGTTACTTTCTTAAGCAATTATGATTCCTAATTTATGCACTCTTATTAATATTATAATACTTCTTAGCTGCAGTATACATTCTAATATATATATATATATATATATATATATATATATATAATGCTGTATGTTACATCCTGTTGCCCAAATATGGGAGACATGCAGACAGCCCAGGTTCGAATCTCAGAAGGGTATGTCTGGTTGAAAAGAGCTAAAGAGTTCGAAACAGTGAT